AGCCACTTTGTGTTTATGTGAAACACTGACAAGTGATTAAGGCCACAGATATGGTGCCGTAATTCTGTGACATAGAAGGTTAGAAACGTTTCAGTTTTTGTAGGGGTAAAGACACATTTTTTGCAAATTAGGATCAACAAAAGTGATTTAGAAAAGAATTTTCCTAAAAACAGTTTATATTCCACGTTCTGAATATTCAAATGCTCCATTGTTGAGTCACATTTAAGCATTTTAAGTCTCATGTCAGTCTAAAATGTTTCATACTTTATTCTCCGTGTGCTTTAAATTATGATATGATATAAAGGCTTGGTTATACTTGCATCTCAGTTTCCCTATACAACACATTTCTTTATTATGTGTAATAAATACTGTACATGATTTTTTTATGCCTATGCTGTTCCTTCTCTTCTGTTGTTTAGGAGGAACAATGTGCAGTCAGAGGAGATTGTAGCTCAACTTGTCTACAGCTTCCTCATTCCTGACGTACACAGGGTCATTGCCCGTGAAAGAGGTAGGTTATTTCTCCCAGACTTGACTTTTATTAGTCGAGCACAAGAAGAATGTAAAGCATGTACAGGCTGAACTATAGATTATGTTTATACTGGCAGAGTTTGTGATATGACCATTAGAGAAAAAAATTTAAAGGAAGATTTTTATTGCATTTTGAGCTCTGTGTGCAATTTATTCAGCAAAAATAGCCCTGTTAATATAGTGTAATTGTCATGGTCAGCAACAACATGCTGTGCGCTGCAAATTGTGTATCTCAAAAGCACAAGAAATTCTAAAAGATAGATAAAAAAGTGTAGGGGCACAGTGTAAATGTGCAGTTGGAAACAAGGTCAGCTGAGACTGAATCACCGGCATTCTGGGAAATTTCAGCTGAAGCGTAAACATGTAGAAAAGAGTACACTGTGCTTATCTGTGAAACTGGCGGTGAATGAGTTGGGACTAGCACAGCTGAGGACAAATGCAAATTTTTAGTTAATAAATCTCGAGCCTCTAATTCTGCATGTAATACATGTAAATAGTTAATAAATGATCTAACTGTCAATTGTATCATCCCTTTATGTATCCTGGTTACACTTTCAACACCTACACATGATCCACTGGGACAGTTACTGCTACGTGAGCTTATGTTTACTCGAAATGCAACTAAATGCAACTTTTTTGAACATCTATTCATCTAATCGATCACATCTGTCAGTGAGGATATAAAGAACAGTTCAAATCCCAGGACTCGTAGTGAATGACCTCCCACATACAGGTCAAAAATGATGTGTAGCCATATTTTAACGGCTATCAATAACAATCATTTTGAAGTGTTTTTAAAAACTGGAGTTAGCTAAATCACAAAAGGTCACAATTTATGTTCCATTTGGCTAAAACAGCCTGCTGCCTAATGGTCAAACATACCCAGCCATGAATTGTGCTGTCAGGCTAATTAGTACTTCCAACAAATTACAGAAATTCACAGGGTGTTCTGTGAGTTGAATAATTGCCGTGGCATGACCACTGAAGTGAGTCACAATTTCAAGTATAATTGTGATGGTCTGCTAGGTTTTTGTCTTAGCATTCTGTTTCCATGGAAAAGGTCATGTTTGGCCGTAGCCACCAATTACAATCTAATCAGTCTTAGCAGAGAAATTAACACACTAAACCTGGTTGGTTCAATCTGTTATTTTGAAAGTAGGTTATAATTTCAAGAGTTAGCAACATTCGACAAAGATGATGGAGTTCACATCAGGTCACTGTCATCCCAGCTATATACACATATACAGTACGTACAATGGAAAAATAATTGCCTTAAAGACAATAGTGCAGCACAAAAAATAGTAACCCTTAACACATGACTACAGAGTGCAATAGTGCATAAGACAAAAACAAGTGGAGAACAATACACAGTGAATTATGGGTAAACTGTGCAGTGCCCAACAAAAGCAGTATAAACTAGACAGCAAGCTTGATTGTGTAGGCTGAGAAGGTTTATTCATTCATTCACTCATTTTCCTTCCGTTTTTCCTGGTAGGGGATAAGAAGGTCAGTCCAGACTTCTCTATCCCCAGCCACAAGATTTCAGCTCCTTCTGGGGCCCCAGATATTCCCATGCCAGCTATGAGATGTAGTCTTCACACCCACTTCACACTCAGCAGAGAAACATTTGAGTGCATGCCAGAGGTCCAGTTCAGATGGTGGGGTTATAGAAGATCCACTGTGTAAATAGCATGTGTTATAGATAATAATAAGTAATAAAAAAAAAATCCACAGTGCTGCAAGGGATGTATACAGGGAGTTACTCTCTGAATAAATTGCCCTGAAGATCCCCTGCAGAGATGAGCCTAGATATTATCTGTAATTTTTCTCTATTTTTTTTTTTCTCGTAACCACCTTCTTTATCCTTTTCAGTGAGACAGAGTCAAAGGAGGCACTTGAATGCAGCACGTACCCTCATTCATGGCACTGACAGCTCCTCCATAAGCCCTCGGCCACTCTCTCCCCCGACCAGAGCCTCCACCTCACTGCTCTCTCAGACAGTCGAGCAGGTGGTGGAGGCTTCACACAACAGTGATCACCAACAGGAGAATGAACACACTGATTAGGGAATATTGGTAAGAACTGCACTATATGGCTAAAAATTTATGGACACCTGACCATCACACCCATATTTTCTATTTGAACATCCCTTTGCATGCTACAGCATACAAAGACCCACACTCTTCTGGGAAGGCTTTCCACTAGATATAGAAGCGCATTAGTGAGGTCAGGCATTGATGTTGGGTGAGGAGGCCTGGGGTGCAGTTGGTGTTCCAGTTCATCTCAGAGGTGTTCAGTGGGGTTGAGGTCAGGGCTCTGTGCAGGACACTCGAGTTCTTCCACTCTAACCTTGGCAAACCATGTGTTTATGTATCTCACTTTGTGCACAGGGGCCAAAACCTGGAACAGGTTTGTGGGTCTTAGTTCCAGTGAAGGGAAACTGTAATGCTACAGCGTACAAAGACATTCAACATACAATTGTGTGCTTCCAGTTTTGTGGCAAGAAGATCCACACTTGTGTGTGATGGTCAGGTGTCCACAAACCTTTGGCCATATAGTGTATGATTTCAGTTTAGCATCTTCATAATAATTTGTTTGTGTTGAATAGAATTTTAGTATTTTATTATCGCCGTGTTCGATATTGTTGTGTTTACTGACCAAATTGTTTTCTCTTGATACACAGGTGACTTGTGGAGAAACATGATATATATATATAATATATAGCAATAGAGAGTGAATATAAAACCAGAATCAATCACCAAATAAAGCAGTTTATATAATGTGTGTGGAAATTGTTTCATATTCAGTAGTATGTATCATGGAGTGCTTCTGTTACTTTGGTTTGCTTAAAGATGAAAAACGTACCACAGCAAGCCTATAGAAATGTTCAATATGGTGAAACAGACTCATACACTTGCACAAATCAGTTCTATTACGCTTTTTGGTACCATGGTCTTCCTGCTTCACTGATCCCACTCCTGATGCTTCAGGTCTGACCTCTTGAATAAAAATGTGAGAATTATGGGTTGAATTTCAGAATCTGCTTCATCAATGTGCATGACAACTAAACAAAAGGCCAGTGATGACCAGGGTTCAGCAGAGTGCCTCTTCAGAAAACATACTTTCATTGGTAAAGGATTGGTGGAGATTTTTACAGTAGATTACACTTATATTTTATTTACACCAAAAAAAAACAAAGTTCAATCAGATTGAACCCACTTTAAACACTGATTTAGTTACAGGGAAAATAAACATTAGTAAACACCACACTGCTGTAATAATTAGCCAACTGGCTAGTTCCATCTGCTGTCAGTAGGCAACGCAGTTATGTTGACAATGTTGATTATTCAAGAACCTAGTTTTTATAGTCAGTGAGCTAAACATCAGCGTATATCTCAGGTCATGTTACATGTCAGCAATAGCTTGGCTTATCACAGTCTGTTGTAAATTTGCATGGTGCAAGATTAAGCACAGTCTACACATATGGTTAGTGGACTGTATTTTGTATATTGATACTACATTCTAGTAAGAATGCTGGTTTGTGTCTTAACAAATCAGCATATGGGCACAGATAAAAGCTTTTGGCCATTCATTAACATGCTTTAAAACAAATGTGACCACGACAGAGGACCTTTTGTAAAAAAAAAAATAAAATAAAATAAAGTAAGACCACAATGAACGCTGTATACTGTATGTACTCTTCTGGCAGTGTCCAGATATCCAGAAATTGGTTGTGTTAATCGTCCTCTGCCATTCGTCATTGTCAGGTTCTGACCAGAGGACTGAGACTATCAACCTTGCAGTGACACTGATGTGCTTATAACCCTAGCAACACTGGGATTGATTTAAAAAAAATAAAAATAGCTGACACAATGTGCAGAGCAACAGATGGGCTACATACTGTTTTGAAAAAAGGCTGAGCGTTTTTGTAAATCACAAAAACCTGCAAATTTAACAGTGATATAGAAACTTTTTATATCCAGTGTATTAGTCACTGGATACTGTTATGAAGCCATTAAGGCTGAGCCTTTTAGCACAGGGTCTCATCATAGGCATAAAACTACCATTTGTACAAATAAAGTACTACAATATGGATAAAGGCTACAAAGCACTTTTATAAATCATATTTAAGCAGACTTAAATAAATTAGCTCAGTGGACACCAAATCTAGGATGTGTTTCACTCTGTGTATGTATCAGTGACATGATTGTCACTGATAGGCCACATGATGCTACAGTCTAGTCTACACAGAAATCAGCCCCAGCATCTACTTCATACTATCCTGTGTATTGTTTCTCACAAACACTTTTACAGCAGTTGGCAAACACCCTTATTCACAGCAACTTACATTTATCTCATTGTTTTATATATATATATTTATTTTATTTATTAATTTTTTTTACAACTGAGTAGTTAAGGATTAAGGGACATGCTCAAGGGCCATGCTCAAGGGCCCAGCATTGGCAGCTTGGCAGTGCCGGGATTTTGAACTCACAACCTTCTAATCACTAGTCCAACGTTTTAACCACCGAGCTACCACTGCCTCTTCCCATTGCTGTTGGTTCTATTGTTCTTGGTTCCATAAAACTAAAAAAAGAATCCGTTTAAAGCCATTTGTTAGCAGCAAGTAAGAACATGGAAGCCAAAAACTGGCCCGTACTTTTATGTACTTTCTCCCCAAAAGTGAGATGTTGTGTTCTTTTTTGATCTGAATGGCTAATTGCCAATTAGAAGGTGGATGTCTGCACTTTATAATAAACCTCATGAACTCAACTCTCGCAACTCACACTCATGCATATAAGCAGTCAGACTTAATCATGAACAACACACACAGAGTGCTACTCAAATATACCACATCTCTCGTTTTAGCTAAGGACATCTTCTCTGCATTCTCACATTAACCTTGTTTACAGTTTAACTCTTCACTTTTTAACAGAAATGTACTGGATATTTAATGCAACTCATATATAATATGCTTCTTAAAAACAAATCAAAATAACATTTACTTTTCTTATATGTCCTCAACAGACACTTGTTTCTCACATTTGCCATAACAAGTTTCAAGTTTCAAGTTTCAAAGCGTTTATTGTCATGTGCACAGTGAGGAAAGCAAGTTTCCTTGTACAATGGAATTCTTTCTTTGCTGTCCACATTGAATGCCAAGACAAGTGCAAACTGTAAAAATAAAGTTTCAGAGGTAGAAATATAGATTATGTTTATAGAAATATAGACGATGTACATCTGTATGTGTGAGTGTGCAATATTGACTTGTGCAAAACAGTAGTATAGTACATGTAGTAACAGTATTGTGTTCACATGTAGCAGTAATATGCAGTATATCTCTATGTGCAATATCGACTTATGTACAAAACAATAGTACAGTAACCTGTAGCAAATTGAGTGCAACTACACAATAATAATAGCAGCTGTCACATTTAACAATGTGCAAAACGAGATGAAGCTACTTGATAAGAAAATAGCAGCAGTAACATTTATAAATGTGCAAATTGAGCTGTAGCAGTTCAGTCCACCTATTCTATGAGATATGTGAGACTAGTCTGTGCCCACTGGCTACCCATTTAAAAGTCTAATGGCTGAGGGGAAGAAGGAGTTCCTTAGTCTGGAAGTCCTGCATTTCACACTCCTGTACCTCCGTCCTGAGGGTAGGAGTGTGAACAGTCCGTGTTGTGGGTGGGTTGGGTCCTTATGGATGGAGGCAGCTCTCCTGTGGACTCTGTGGTGGTAAATGGTCTGCAGAGAGGGCAGTGGAGTCCTGATGATCTTCTCAGCAGTCTTCACCACTTTCTGCAGATGTTTGCGGTCCCTCACGTTCATATCAACTCAGTTTCATTCTGGGGAGTAATACAGAAGCATCTCAATATGCTCAAGAAGCATCTTAGCACTATGCCTGTTCATATCTTTCCTTTCTCAAACAGCCTGGGGTGAGTAACAACTTTACGGCTTTGGGTGCAGTGTGTAACTGGGGTGTTTGCAGTTTAAGAGCATAGCTCATCTATTTAGTGAGTCACTACAGCAGACTTCCACCCATGTCTGGTCTGACGTCTCTCAGTTTCACACCCTTTCTGAGCTGTCTCTCTGAGCTGATTGATCATATCTGAGCATTTGTCACCTCCACTGCATACAGTACCATCTGTAACTGCAGAAGAGTCTTACTTAGCTGTTTCTGAAAATTGACCACAAGAGGATTGTGTTCGGACTGAGCTGCTACCGCACTTCCAGACTTCCAGATACAATATGTACTGGTGGCAACGCTTTGCAGCAAACACAATAACCAGCAGCTCTTTCTTAATCTGATTGTAGATCTTCTCTGTCTCAGAGAGTGATGCATAACTCAGTGTAGCATTCTTGTAGTAGACATGCACCAAATTCATCTATTGATGCGACTGCTTGTGTCATCTTGTGGTCCTAAAATCTAAGAAAAGGTGCTTGGGTAAGAGCACACCATGCTGAGGGCCTCACTTCCTCATAGTGTAACCTAGTGTGTGATAAATGATCCACATGACACAGGTTACTGTAACAGATGAATCTATATTTTATAAGCACAAACAAAAAGGTGCAGCCTAACTCACCTCACCCACAATCACACTGAATGCAGGGCCTGGGAAAGCCCAAACATGGGTCTTAAACCAACATACACCCAGAGCATTACAAAAGCTTCCATCCTAAGTGGGGCCGTTACAGAGTAACCACCCTGAAGTTCATTATTTCCCTATAACAGCATGTCCTGAAGTGTTTTATTCCTCATATACCACAGCAATGTGCAAATAATTACAAATTTTATATATTAAAGAGCTACACTGATCTTTTTTTTTTTTTTTTTATCAGTTTATAGTTACATTTAATGTTGTGGAACATCTGAAAAACAAGTTCCTGTTATCACGTACATTACAACAGCTATAAACATTTGTTTCCTCATTTTTTGTTTTCTTGAAGTTAATAAAACAAAAAATGCAGCATGTTATTGATGAACTTTAGGAGAAAGCATAAAGGAACAGAATTACCTCTGACGCTTACAAAGCGAGGTGGCATGGTGGTGCAGCAGGTGGCTTTGCTGCCTCACAGCTCCAGGGTCCCTGGGTGAATTCTGAGCTCGGGTTACTGTCTGTGTGGAGTTTCTGTGCATGTTCTCCCTGTGTTCACATGGGTTTCCTCTGAGTTCTCCGGTTTCCTCCCACCTCCCAAAAACATGCCAGTAGGCAGACTGACAAGGAGATAAATTGCTCCTAGGTGTAAATGAGTGCATGAATGAGACTAGTGTCCCATCCAGGGTGTATTCCGTGTCATCCGGTGTGCTAGGGGCCATGGTAATCTTCTCTGTATCATTCCAATTTTAGTATATGTGCTGCGGTAGCAAGCACTATAGAGGAATTTCCTGTTATCTATATCAATATCATTTGTTAAGCAGTATTATATCATTTAGTATCTATGCAATAGTATTGAGAAATGACTATAAATCACCTCATGTATTGACTTTTAGAGCTTCATTTATATACTACAATGTACCGTTTCTAGTACATTTAAAAGGGTGACTTTGGGCCTGTGATCCTGCAAAGAGTGGTGTGACCTCTTAGAGGGAGTCTTCTTTAAAGGTGAAGGCTAATGTTGTGTTTGAAGACATAAATCTGAATGAACTCCCACCATGGTTAAATCTAAGATAAGGGGAAAAGGAAATAAGTGGGGCGAGTGGCAGGTATGCG